GTTTTGGTATGGCTGTCAATCAGGTTGCCTGACCCTACCATGGCCAGTTACTGGAGTGGGCACCTGTTCCAGACTGGCCAATCTCTCAGCTCAATGATTGGTTTATGAATGGGCATGTGACATAAGATGGCTCATCAGAGCCTTCTTGAGAACACCTTGATTTACACTAGAATTAGTAAAGGAAGTTATTGTTTCTTGCCAAGAGGAGTGGGGAGCTTAAGTAGAAATGCAGGCCTTCATATTCACTAGCTGCTGGGAAGAAATCTCTGTCATGTGGAGTCCTGTGCTCCAAAAAAGAGCCCTCTATTTCCTGAGTGAATGTGCACAGGCCAACTAATGTCCCTTAAATTTAGCATCCTTATATGTAAGTAGGGACAATACCCACTTTTCAAGTACTGTTGCATTTCAGTGGGGGTATGTGTAAAACTGTTGGCAAACAGCAAGTCCTCAGTAAATGTTAGTTTTTGGTGTTATGGTTTGTCTTGATTCAGCTTCACTCTAACTCTGAGCTAGAGCAATGCTTTTGAAAACAGTTCCAATCTTTGAATGTGTCGGTGACCATGCCACGTGAGTTGTTGTCCTGGGTTAGTTCTGACTCCCTTATGTGATGGTTTATTTTCTGGGGACCCTCATGGAGGAGACTCCCCACACCTCCAGGAAAAGCCTGCACCACCATCCCCACTTTGTTTTACTGTCCTTGTGTTCCTTTTCTTCCACTCATGACAATTCCGTGGCACCTGAACTCATGGCCAAGTAGACTATGGATGGACCTTGGGGAAACAGCCAAAGAACAGTTATTCCAATATGGTACCCACTTCTGTTCTTTGCCTCTCATGGCTAGGCCAAGTAAAATAGTGTTCATCCTGGAAAAATTTCCCATGCTGCTCTCTTACTTGAGACAATTCTCCAATCATCACTTAGTTGTCTTTAGTATAAAATTATAGTTCTTGAAGTGAAAGGACTGGATTATGGAAATCCATGAATATCAGTCTCTTGGTGGATGCAATACCTAAGGGGACTGTAAAGCTACCCTGAGCTTCCTCACTGATGTGCCTGAAGATAAATACTTCTCCTCTCTACACCTGCCCCAGATGGGCATTTTTCATCAAGTATGGTCATACTCTTTACTACCCAGCTCACACAAGCTCTGCCAAGGCAGTTCTACAAACACATTACCATTTTCACAAGAGATAAAATATGCTAGGCATTTGATCTGTGTTTGCTGAATGAATGGAAACCTTATTTGAAGACATTCATGATCTGGCTTCTGGAATGAAACTTGTGAGTGATGGTTTCAATCAGGCTATATGTATGATGTTGTACTTGATCTTCACAATAACTCTAGGACATACACATTATTAGTCATCTCTTTTTAATGGGAGAAAGCCCAGATGTCAAGCGACATGCCTTAATTCGTCCCCTGGTTTGAAAGAGCCTAAGGCCTATGATCTTAATCATTGCGTGTGGGTGGACACCTGTGCCTTGGCTGTGGGCTTCCATGGCTCTTCTCTGAGATGTTCCTTTGTATGTTTGGGTGCCAGTTTGAATACTCTGGGGACATGTTTCCCAGTGTCTTTGCTTGGCTGGCAACAGGAGGTCTGCTCATTATGCTCATGGCAGAGAATGCAAAACACTATTTTTTCTCCCATAAACAAATCTGGAAGCAAATACTGGGATCTGTGTGTTTTCTGTTATTTAACAAGAGCAGGAGGAAGAAGCTACTGAGCATTTTCCAAGCATCTCATTCTCCCAAGCACTGGCCCTCGGGAGCAGGGAAAGGAGCTCATGCTTCTTGAGGGCTCACCACATGCCAGACACTAGGATGGATGCATGAAGAACCTCCTTCTCACAGACGAGGTTCACTCATCTTTCAAGTTTCCTTCAGCATCACCTGCTCTGTGAAGACTTCCTCCCCATCCCTTCCTTCATGGGGCTGAACCCTCCCTACTTTTCATCCTTATCATGTTCCTAACATTGTATCCTTGACATTAAATATAATGTCATTAATATAAATATGCCTTGGGGTCTATTTCTATCCTTCCTCTAGACCTTGCCTGTCCAAATGGTAGCCCCAGTCACAGGTGCTGCTGAGCATTTGAAATGTGTTTGATCCAGATCGAGCAGGGTTATAAATGTAAAGTGCACACCTAAGAGTTGGCAAATGAAAGAATGTAAACTGTCTCATTATCTTTATGTTGACTACATATCAAAGTAACATTCTTTATGTGCTGTATTAAATAAGACCTATTAAAACTAAGTTGGTCTCTGTTTACATGCCGCCACTAATGTGATGACGGAAACGACTGACAATTTGTATGTGGCCCACGTTATATTTCTATCAGATAACGGGACTCTGAACTCCAGAATTTCTTAAGGAAGGGGCTATTTCTTATTTTCTTCTCCATTTCTAGGACTCGGAACAGGGTCCTGTGTCCAGTAAATTGAAAATGGGCTGTATGTGAGTCCAAGGAACAGAACCCAAATCGGGAAGGGGTGGCCTGCGCTCGTGGGACAGCTGAGTGGGCAGTGGGGCAGTTGTTACTAAGGCTGGAGTGTAGTTTATAGAAATCCTCAAGAGCTTCCCCCTTGATGTTAAAGAAGGAGTTCCCCAGACAAGTTACAAGTGCTCTGGACACTGCTTCCATGTCCCCTCACCCTCCCAACAGGCTGGTGGCTTCTTGTGCCTCTCTATCTGCAGCCATGGTGTGGCCACAGCAAAATCCAAGAGGCAAGACTGGAATGGCAGAGTGTCAGCACCTTGTTGGGGGCAGTCATCTGTGTCGTGTGGGAACTGGGCCAGCACAGCAGCTTCCTTACCTTCAAGAGGGACAAATCTGGGTCTCACGCAGTGTCCTGTGCTGTTCTCTAGACCCCTGACTGGCTCATTCCCACTCTTAGCCTGTGCTTCTCAGGTTCACCTCCCAACGCTATTTACCTCCACATCTCTGTGGCAGTGTCTGGTTCTGGAAGACCCACGCCAAGGGAAGGGCAGCTGGGGCATTTGGTGCCTGCCTCTTGACCACCGGTGGGCTCCCCTCAGCTCCCTCCTACCACTAAACCCTGAGTTTGAACTAATTGCCCTCACACTCCAGGGCTTCACGTCATGCCTCTGCACACCCTCATTCCTTCCCTGGAAGCCCAAGATTATCTGCTTGGCCCCCAATACGCTCAGACCTGGGTACCAACTTCCAGAAAAGACTCTCCCCAGCTCAACTCCATCCTCACGCTCTTGGGATTCAGCTTCTTGGGATTCTTATTCTCTTCATTCCTTACATATGCCCTCCAAAATGCTCACCTCTTGCTCTTGCACAAATGTTCCCCTGTGCCCCAAATGGCTTTGGAAATGCCGCCCTCCATTACTATGTAACCTCATCCCAACTGCTTAAAAAAAAAAAAAAAAAAAAACTTCCAACTGCTAGCAGGCCTCCTTCCTGAGCTCAGAGATTGCAATTTCTATTCCGGGTTCATTTCTGGGCTGTGTTTATATGTGGCAGTGCACCAGTATCGTCTCTGGGCAGCCAAGAGATTTATACAGAGAACACGGGCACTGAGAAAGAATATATGAGGACATCTTTAGTACAGTGACTTTGTAAGAATTTCACCGACAGTGTCACTCCCTATTCTGGTTTGAAAATGCAGATTTATACGTGTGGCTGCCTGCAGAGAAATAGGGTAAAACACAGTACAGCCTCCTGGATGATGGATCCCTCTTTCGTGAGGTTCTAGCCCTTGGAAATGTACACCTCTGTATCTCTTTGATAACCTTGAGAATTGTAGATCATGAAAATGGAAATTGTTGAGATGTGTCACAGACACTTGGATAGAGGGCCAGAAAAAAAGGTAGCTTCTTGATCAATATTAGTTGCTATAAAGCAAAACAAATGGAAGAATAACCTTAAAATAGGGAAACAGAATCCCCGGAGAGTTTCTAGTGAGCAAGTCATGGCAATTTGAAGTGCATTGCATTTTACCCTGTTAGAGTCTGTAAACAAGTCAGGATGGTGCCTGGCATTTTGCCAGAGGGAGTGGTTTGTGAAGTAATGCCAGCGAGCCATTAAGTGTGGAGATTCCTTATTGGTTGACTGCTGTATCTAGTTTATGTTAATTAAGATAAGCTGTGTGGAATGTATATATACCCCTCCTGTCCTACAATAAACGGCTCCTACTCCTGCTGTATCAATGTACACAAGTGGCTCGTCACCCCCCGGTTATTTTGCTGCAGCCGGACTGTGGCATTACCCTTATTTAAAAGGCAGGGCAATGAGGTGTGGGGTTAAGAGAGTGAATTCTGGTGACAAAGGTGTGGCTTGAATTTGGCAAATCCTGGGTCCCAAGCTTCAGTCTTGTCCTCTGTGTGTGGGTGCGATGACGTACCTCGCCTCTTAGCCTTGTTGGGAGGGTAAGTGAATAGATGCACTCATAGCTCCTCCAGCAGCATACAGTGGGTGCCTAGTAAATGTTTATGATGGTAATTACTGTTAAATTTTATTATCAGTCATATCATCACCATCATCCATTCATGGTTTTTTTAACGTCACCTCTTTAAGTGTTTTAAAACTATCATCATCATGTAATTTAATATACACTGGTTTCGTTTACATAGGAATTTTTGTTTGGAAATAGTGTTTTTGTTTTTAATGCTTCTTTTTTCAAGTGGTTTTACTTTCTTGCCTTGAGGGAACCAGAAAGTCTGTTTTGTTCATTAAAAAAGTTTTAAAACAATCTAATATGTTCATCACATACACCAGGATGTTTGGTGTATGGCTAAATCGGGCTAATTAGCATATGCATTGGCTCCTATACTTACACTAAATCTAAATGGCTTTTCAAAAGCTTGTCTCAGTTCAGCCCCCACTTTCCCTGTGGGCTGTTCAGTTTTCACTGAAGGCTGTCCTGCCGCCTTCTGATTTTTTTTTTCATTTTATGTTACCCATCTTTCCGTCATAAGAGCGGGGCTCTCATCCAAATAGTTTTTGTGGATTAAATGATACCAGAAGAGGTTATGCTATGCTGAATACTTTATTTGTATTTTTATGTAAACATAATTTGCTTTGTAGGCACAAGATAACAAAAGCTCTAAAGCCACAAACACATTAGACGATGCTTCTGTTCGCTCCAACCACGCTTCACTTAAGAGAAGCCTTCGGGGTTCCTCTAAGGCAAACCGAGACCTTCTTCACTCTTCCTTCAGAAAAACAACCAGGACACGGGGGAGGAGGTGCTTAAAATGAGAGTCCATGGAACCATCAAATGTCCCCCGATTCTTCACAGCAGAAACTGACACGGTCGGTCAAACTCCAGCTTCCTCCCTCCGTATCCCGAGAGGAGAGGGTTTTAACCAATGGGTTCGACAGGGAGGCTGGATTGACTTCACTGGCTGAAAGAACAGATGTGGGAAGGATGACGTTCATGCTTCTCTTTTGGACATAACAAAGGACGCCTGGAGGTCAGGTTCCCTCCCCCCGGAGGAGGATAGCCCTCTCAGGGCCAGCTCTTCCAGCCCTAGAAGATGCCATTTCTGCCCTGATTCCTGGGAATCTCACTTGGACAGTGGTCCCTTAGAAGCCCCTTTCAGCCTGGTTACGGGAGAAACATGACCGTAGTATAGTGTCCAGTTAAGAGAGGTAAACACCCGTTCTCAGGATGGCCCCAGACTGGACAACTGCTGAGTCCTGGGATAGGAAGAGAAGATGACATGAGTGTCGCCTCTCAGGACACTCTCGTCCCCTGACTTATCAGATGGCCACCCCCTTTCCTGTCTTCATAGTTGACATGCATTCACCACAAGGAGAGACCCTTTTCAGGTCAATATTTGGCATAAATAAGTCATCACAAGCTTAGGAAAAACAGAACGCGATGAGTGAGGTGACGTGTGTTACAAAGAAACTCTGGAAACTAAGCAGGTAGCTGTTGAAATGCACCCATTCCTGTCACTGGGGGAAGAGGTGGGTCCACTGTCAAGCTTGTTGGTGGAAGAACTGGGCATGTGGGAACCCCCTTAGGTCTTCCACAGAGCAAAAGCTAGTTGCCTGGGCTCCTTGTGTTTCTAGCATGGTTTGTGAGTGACAGATGAATCATTGGGCCTGGGAGAAGGGAATGGGGAGGCCGCTTCCCGGGTACGTGTGTTCACCTCTCAAGCCCAGTCAAATGGGCAGGTAGTGGGTGGAGTTTCTTAGGAGCTGAGGAGCTGGCAGCTGGACAGGGTATACAATCAAGCAGTTTGGTCCCTGGTTCCTGAGGAGCAGGGCCCTGCAGGATGGCACCATGGCCCTGTTGTGTTGGAGGGGAGGAAACTGCACATCTGGCAGCATATAGTGAACAGCCACCTTTTGCATCCCTAGAGTTGTCACTTGTTGGAACGTGCTTTGGCAAGACAGAAGAGTTTTTCAAACATGGTCTACAAGGGAGCTCTTTCTTGGGGGAGGGTGGTGGCTTGCTACCAGGAATGGAAAATAGAAAAGTTGGTAATGCTGATGGCGAGTATGCAAACACGGTCGAATCTCAGTGACATTTGAATGAGTCCTACACATGGTGAGTTTTCTTAAAGCCTCCCCACAGCCATATACATTTTGTCTCATGAGATGTGGCCTCAAAGAAGAAATCTCTGTGGCTGGTCTTCAAGTACAAGAAGATGACCCATTTTTCTACCCTGAAAAATTCAGACCAGCCTCCCTGTGTTTATGAATGAGAACTAACGAAAAGATCCAGTGACAGAAGGTTAGAGGAGAGTGGCTTGGACCTATGGCCTTAAGACAGTGGATGGATGTCAGGAAGTTTTCCTCTTAAAGGGAAGAGAGGAAAAAGTACTGTTTGGAGAGTTTTTAAATTCATAGGCTCATGACGATCTCTCCTGGCCTACCTTCTTTCCCCCACGGCCAAATTGGCGAGTGCTCTGGTCAGAGACATGGGTGGCCAGTGGCAAAGAGTATCATTGGCCCGAAGAGTGCTAGGACCTGGACAGCTCTCTGACAATACCTTTCAGTCCAAACTTGTCTTCTCGTCATCCTTGCCCACATCTAGTCTCTTAGGTGTCGGGCCTGTGGGCTATTGGCAAGGCTATTCTAGAACCATCAAGAAGGACCTGAAGATGGATGGTTTGGATTCCGGGGAAAGGGGAGAGTGTGATACACAGATCGGGAAGGGACATAATACTGCATGGAATGGGCTTGGCACTTAATTCCAAAAAACAACAGTGATCAACAGCTTCTTAGCTCAGCTGACTGCAGACGAACACAACACGCAGGGACTACAGCATGTGTTCACTGGGGCGGAGAAGAGATTCGCAGCGGGTCCTCTTCTTCCAAACCGTCCTTCACATCCTCCTGTCTGGTCCTGGGCTACTGGATAAAGGGCATTCGCTCCTTGTTCTCACTGTCGCCCTCGTGGTCCTCCTCCTCTTCCCCTGCCTCGCTGGTCTCTGTGCTGTCGTTGGCCATCTGTAATTCAATGGAGGCCATCAGAGGGGGCCTCTGTGACCCACCCCTCACCTTCCCTGAGCATCTGATGAAGCCACGCAGGTAGGGCTTCCTCGAGAGCAGTCATGCCCAGAGGTAGAGAAAGCGCCTCTTGTCCCCGTCACCAGTACCTGCTGAGCTTCCTTTTCCATCGGATGCATGCATTAGCAGTGATCTCGCTGGGCCCATCCCCAGATCTCAGGATGCCCCCCATGGAGCCTGATGTCACCCTTCCTCCCCTTAAAGTACAGTCCTCTATCTGGAAGGGCTGTGGTCTCCTCCCAAACCCCAAGACACTCCAAGTACCCGTTCTCCATATCTCTGTTTCTTTGGGGCTGAGGGGTAAAAGCTGCGTGAGGTTCAAAAACAAGGACAATGACATATGTGGGTGCACGTCCCAAGCTCTTGGCCTGAAAGGTGAGCTTTTAGGCTCCAGCTGGGGTGAAGCTGGGCTTCTGCCAGCTGGGACCCGGTCTCACGGGGTATAGACAGCAGAGCCTCTGGGACAGCCAGTGCCAACTACCTTGCTTGAAAGCAATAAGCCGTTCCTGACCATTCAGGGGCCTGTCTCCTGCTACCAATGGTGCTGAAATAGACTCGTTCTTGTGTTTAAAGGCCACAGTGTCATGGACAGGGGACCCGGAATCCCAGCCCCTCCTTCCTAACCTTATCCCCTCATTCACCTTCAAACAGCCTTGGGACTTAGCATTTTGCAAACTCTATCTGTATTGTTATCAGCCACTGAAACATCACAAAATGCCCTCTCATTAAACTACCTTCATCCAGTGATAATCGTTGTTAGACCTCAACTATATTATGGTTGTAAAGACCAAAATGCTTTTTAAAATACATGCTTTGACTAAAATGTGGAATGTTAGTTTTTTTCCTTGTATGACTGATGCAGCTTTTCCTCTCCTTTCTTGTCTGTCCTGGCTTGCTCTTGACCTGCTCTTGCAGAGGCATTCGCCTTTCCTCCTTAGCCCCCATCTCGGTGCCCAGGAGCCCCCATTTGTGAGGGTGTCTGATACCCAGCCCCTTCCAGCCCACAAGCTGCCTGTGCTCCTTCTGTCCCTGGATTCATCTCTTGGGTAGAAAGATTTCCTCTGATTGACACTCACCAGTGGAGTCGGGGTCTTTTCCACATCCAGAATTAATTTTCCGATGTTCCCTCGGTCGTGGATCCGCTGCATGGCCTCCTTCACCTGAGACACAAGGTAAGAAGAAACAAGCCCTGGTTAGGTGAGAGGTTGCCCAGGTGAAAGGGGACCTGGACAGTCACACCGACAGCTTCCCACCAGGGGGCGCTGCAGTCCAAGCTGGTGGTGGAACCCGCGATGTCTCCCGGACCCTGGGGTGCAAGTAAATTCTGATTGTGTCATTCACACTCTCTGGTCTTCCTTTACAAGAATCTCCTCCATCTAAAATCAAAAGGTGGGCGCTTTTGAAATAATTAGATGAAAATTTCTTTTACAAAAAGGTCTGGGAATGTTCTCTGGACTGCCAAGAGTTATATGATGCACGATAGCAGGGCAAATTAGTCCGACTAAGTGTTGAGCAATAAAAGTATTTTTTGAGTATGATTAAGCCCTGTTTACTTAATATAATTCAGATTTATAATTTGGGCTAAATAAACCCATTACCCGGGTCTGAACTGCATTCAGAAGACAATTCCATGTTGTCTTCACCTGGGAGGAGTTCCTTTTAGAACCAGTAGTCAGACTGAGTATCTCTAGAAAAGATGACCCACTGTTTCCTTTCTGATGTCAAACCAAAGGATGTCTCCAGGGGACTGTCTGAAAAAGCAAGGGTGGGGCACAGACCCATGGTTTTATTTCATTCTGTTGCTGTGCAGAAAACTAACTGTAGGAGGCGCTGTGAGGGTTCAATGAGATATGGAAAGGGCACCAGGGAACCCAGGTCTCTGCTTGGGTACATGAAAACAAAACATCTCTTGATTTTAAAAAAGGAAATTCATAATAGATGTGGCCTAAACATTTTTCTCAAAATCTCTCACTTTCACATCTTTGTGTTCAATCATTCTGTCTGCAAATATTCAGTGAACGTTGCTTCTAGGCTAGATGCTGTGATTAAAAAAAAAAATAAAAGTAAGACATGGTGCCTGATTTTGAGGAGCTCAGCCTGTGGCTGATGGAGCCGCATTTGCTTATATAAAAAAGCAACCCAAGCCTTCTACTCATTTGTATACAAATTTGATAGAGCCATTAAAATGTTTGTATTTGAATTGCTTTTCTGGGACTTCATTCTAAAGAGATAATTCAATTTATGGGGGAAAATAACACATAAAAGCTACTCAATCATGGCACTGCTTTTAAAGGCAAATCTCTGAAACAACTTTTATCACAGAGAAAGAGGTGTCTAAGTGAACGGTGGCTCTTTCATTTATCTACTGAATAGAAATGTTACGGAGCTGTTAAGGAATATAAAGATATACACAGCTAATCATCAAGAACACATAGGATTAAACACTTTTGTAATACTGCAAAATGAGAACTTTACATGTACATCTTCACATGCGTTTCTATAAAGACATGGCTATTCTAAACAAGAGAGGGGCCACTGATCCATGATGAAAACTAATGTAGGGGAAACAGGTGTCTTTGGCCACTAGTGGCCAAATATTATTTGGTAACAAGTTTCAAATCAATATTTAATATAAACTCAATGCCTCTTTAAATGCAGTCTTTGGATAACTTAGCATTGGTTAGAATCAACCTGTTTTATAGACAGTCAGTCTCATATGATTGTCAATTGTCTGACCCTAATAAATAATCCAGTAGATTCTATATCTGGGGTGACATAGCTTTCTGAAGTGCCTTCACATTTAATGGTAGCAGCTACCATAATTGTTCCTCAATACCTGTGGAAGATGGTTCCAGAACTCCCCATTGGTAACAAAATCTGTGGCTGTTCCAGCCCTTTCTATAAAATGGTGTAGTCTGTATTTGCATAAAACCCATGCACATTTTCCCTTATACTTTAAATCATCTCTTAGCATTTACATTGTGTAGTAAGTAATCTATGTAAATAGTTCTACTGTATTGTTCAGGGAATAATAAGAAGAAATCAAAGTTGTTCAGGGAATAATAACAAAATCAATGCATATGTTCATACAACTTTTTTCCCTGAATATTTTCTATCAGAGGTTGGTTGAACCTGTGGATGCCAAATGTGTGGTTGAAGGGGGCCAACTGCACTCACTGAGAATCTATGAACAGTGGGTGATGTTTTCTAAAGTGGCTATTAGTGATCTCTTCCCTGCCATGTCCATGTGTAAGCCTCTCTCCTTGAGGGCAGGCTGGACACAGTGACTTGCTTCTAACCAAGAGAACACAGCAAAAAGTAGGGGGATCTCCCTTCCAGGGTCAGGCTGCAAGAGACTATGTCTTTAATCCTGCGGTCTCTTCTCCCTTCCTCACTCCAGTGGTGCAAGCAGCCAAGTCCTGAGAGGTCCCTGTGGCAAAGAACGGAGGGCAGCCTCCAGCCAATAGGGGACTGAGATATTGAGCTCCAGGGCCTCCAAGCACTGAATCCTGCCAACTTGCTAAGGGAGCTTGCAGGCAGAGCCTGCTCCAGTCAGATCTCTAAGTGAGATCACGGGCATCTTGGTGGCAATCTTGTAAGAGCCAAAGGACCTGGCAAAGCCACACTGATTCCTCCCCACAAATTTGAGAGGTCACAAAAGCTGTTGTAAATCACTATCTTTTTATTTAAAATATTCTTACCTTGGAAGAATTATACACATAATAATTATCTATAAAATAGCTATAACATATCTTGTAAGCTAAGTACCAATACTAAAAATATATATATAATATATATATATAATATAATGTATAATATATATAATATAATGTATAATATATATAAT